CCCGACCAGGAAAAGAACAGCCCTAAGTAGCCATATAGATGAGCAGCCAGGCCCAAATAATTAAAATAGGGTCATGTACTATTTTTAGCTCGGGACTGACTGTTCGTTTCCCAAAGTCGGGCCTGCGCCAGTCCCGTTCTAAAAATAGCACAGCCCCACGTTATTTTTAGCGTGGGACTAACTGTTCATCTACTGGGAACTGGGCCTGCGTCAGTCCCGTTCTAAAAATAGCAGAGCCCCACGCTATTTTTAGCGTGGGACTAACTGTTCATCTACCGGGGACTGGGTCTGCGCCAGTCCCGTTCTAAAAATAGAACTGACTGTTCATATCCCGAGGTCGGGACTGCTGCTATTTTTAGCACCGGCCCGGTCTAGAGTTTGACCACAGCCCCGACCATGGGACTGAAGCACAACCCCGATCACTAGGCCTCGCCATTATAAAAGAGAGGCCACGTGACCCAGCAAAACAGATCAGCATGCGTGGTATACGTGGCACGGATCAGACAGATTGAGAGCATGCCTACTTGCGAAATACAGCAACGCAGGCAGAGCGGCAAGTAAGAATCTCTCACACGCGGTGATGCGGAGCGACTGGCGGGGCAGCGAGGAAGGAGAAGGACGGAAGCTACTGTGTTAAAGCAAGTAGAAGGAGGGACGACCCAGACATGCAAGAAGGAGGTAAAGGGAAGGAGGGGTGCTCGGGGAAATAAGGCGGTCTCACAAGGACCATTTTGTTTTCTCCCTCGTCTCTCCCCCTATCATCTTCTTTCTGCTTCCCTGCTCGCTCTCCCTTCTTTCCTCCTTCTCACTCGGATGTGCGGGGTCAGTTTAATCCCCCGCGAGCCCATTGGCTCATAGCAAAGTTCTGATCTTCCTTTGACCACCTGCACGCACTGAGCCCAAGGGCAACAGGTGTTGAGCACTCGAGCTTGCCGTGCTCAAGGGACACTGTGTGCCCCAAACGCCGTGCCTGAAAGCTGTTGAGATTGGGAACTCACTCGCATTGTGCCTAGGACAGTTGATACTGTGCGCCCTTGCTCACCACACTTAAGGGTTGGTGCTGTGCGATCAACTGCTCGGAGCACGAAGACCATTAAATGTTGAGTTATGGGGTGAACCCTGCCATACTTCGTTACGCCTCAGTTTGAGTCCGCCGAGGGCTACATGATCCATAT